TCCGGACGGGGCTGGGGGGCTGCTGACGATAGAGCAGGGAAGACAAAGTTCATGTCTGCAGGTTGCCGGGGCCCTGGGCCTGAGGTGCACAGACTGCGGGACTTTGGGGTTCTCTGGTCCAAACGGTAACCAAAGGCCCCCTGCCCAAGCAGCTGGACATTCAGACCCACGACGCGCCCCTTCCCCGAGGCGGACGGGGAGCGGGCATTTTTAGGTCCCCTTTACAGATGGGAAGGCAAGTCTGGGGATGGGAGGGGACCACTTGGAGCTCTGAGACGGTGTTGGCCTGGGTGCTCCCAGCTGGCCTGTGTCCCGCTGCCCCACGCAGCCATGTCCTCACGCGTGGCCCCTCCCCTGCGTCCCCAGGGGACCGACTGAACGAGCAAGTGGCCTACCACCGGCTGGCGGCCCTGCACCACAGGCTGGGCCAGAGTGAGCTGGCCGAGCACTTCTACCTCAAGGCGCTCTCGCTCTGCCGCTCGCCCCTGGAGTTCGATGAGGAGACGCTGTACTATGTGAAGGTGTACCTCGTGCTCGGGGACATCATCTTCTACGACCTCAAGGTGGGTGGCGTGCGGGCAGGGCGCGGGCGCTGGGGCACGGGGCTGTCACCCTGCAGGGGACTTGGGGCTGCACCGGAACTGGGAGGCCTGGGTCCAGGTCCTCCTCCAGCATCGGCCCCCTATGAGGAGCAGGTGGGGCCAGTAGGCACTGTCTGAGCTCCTGTGCGGGTCAGACCTGGCCCTCAGGAGCTGAGGGTCAGTGAGGGTGGCTGACATGTAAATGTGACAGTGCGGACAGCAGCCATCAGGTAAAGGACAAACAAAATGGAGTGTAGTAGGGGTGGGGGGCCTTCTGGAGGAGGTGACTGCAAAATTAAGTCTCGAAAGTCAAGCAGGAGTTAGCCACAAAAATAGTGGGCTGAAGACACTCCCAGGGCAGGGGAAGGGTCATCATTATTCCCAGAGACCCATGACCCAGCACAAACCCTGGCACCTCCTCCAGGAAGCCTGCCAGCCTGTGTGGAGCTCTTCCCCTCCTAGGATCCTCACATTGCCTGGACGGCAATCCAGTTCACAGAGAGGGAGATTGGGGCTTGAGGTGGGGTGCGACCTGCCCCAAGTTTCATAGCAGGGACACCCCACCCCACAAGCACCCCGGCTGAGCCCCTGCCCTGTCGGAGCTGGACGGTTAGGAGCTGGGACCTATTTTTCATCCATCTCTGAGCCTCGCAGTGGACGCAGATGAGGGTCTGGAAATGTCTCCGCTATCGCTCCCCCTGCACGGGCAGAAGGCCCCCCATCTCCCCCATTCCGGGTCTAGCATTGCACCAGCACGGCGTCCCTGCTCGTGTTGGTTGAGGGGTGAGGGTGCCCCAGCCCAGGTGCTGAGTTCTCCCCCTCCCCTACCCAACGAATGGCATCTAGGAGCTGGGGAGGCCCTGGAGGACCCCCACTTGGTCGGTAACCCCAACCCCTGCCTGCCTATGCACTGGCGACACCTGGTGGTCAGAAGTAGTCACTGCATCCTTCTATGTCAGCCAGGCAGCGCTGGAGGATTCCACGGGCAGCCGTGACCACTGCAGCTGAGCCCCACTGAGGTCCAGACCCTGAGCAGTCCAGGCGCTACGTGGCTCAGGCCCTGTGTGATCCAGGCTCTGTACAGTCCGGGCTCTGTACTGTCCGGGCTTGTACTGTTCAGGCTCTTTGTGTCCAGGATTCGTGTAACTGGTTCTTCAAATGCTTTGCTGCAGGAGGAGCTGGTACCCCCATAGGACAGACAGGGGACTGAGGCTCGGCACCGCCAGCTAATTTGGATAGGATTAGGAGAACATAGGGGGCTTCAGTGCTCAGGACCCTGCATCCCTGTGGCCGTGTGGGCCTGGGACTCTGGGACCCCACACCGTGTGACCCTAAGACCCTGCAACCCTGCTCACTCTCTCCGCATCAGTGCCCACCTTCCTGGGCTTGGAGTCTGGTGGTGGAACAGGACTGTGGCCGATCTCACCTGGGCTCGACGCCTTGAGCTCTCTCTGCCCCTGGGCGGTCTGAGGGTGGGGCCACAGCCAGCATGTACCACCCGCGTTCAGAGCGATTGGGTCAGTATCTCAGCTCTGAGCTGTGCTGAGATCCCTCAGCTCAAAACAAGAAGGGGAAACTGAGGCTGGGGAGGTGAGCAGAGTTGCCCAGGATGGGGCTGAGGGAGCCGGGCCAGGGCCAGCTCCAGGCCCCAGGCGTCTGAGCTAAGTCCAGGCAGAGCTCTCGCTCCCTCCAGGTGATCTGTCCGCAGTCACTCCCAGGAGGAAGGAAAGGGCAGGGCTGCGGCTGAGGTCAAAGAGCAGAGAACCCTCCGCTTCCTTCCAAATGGGCTTCCCAAACTGCACGACCACCACAGCTTTGCCGTGACTGCTCAGTCAGGGCCAGGCTGCCTTGACCACGCTGAGGCTTCGGAATTCCGTCAGGACCACCAGCGCCATGCTCCGTGTGTCCAGGAGGGAGAGAGGTCACCTTGTGCCCTGCGTGTGACCCAGGGGCTCCACTGCCTGGGACGGGGCAGGAGGAGGAAGAGAGGGCTGCTCTGGGGTCGAGGGGCTCACGGCGTCTTGCTGCTGGTCTCCCTGAAACAGGCTGCCTTTAGCCTGTGTGTGGTAAGGTTTGGAATAGGAAAGATTTATGTGTGAATCCTGGGTCTGCCACCCACTCGCTTCTGCACGCATGTGTGCACACACGCATGTGCACAGGGATGCACGTCCTTCTGTACTGTCCAGGCTCGTACTGTCCAGGCTGTTCTGGCCAGTTCCTTCCACTTTGCTGGGATGCCCCTTCCTCCAGGAAGCCCTGCCACCCACCCCAGGCAGAGCCGGCTTCCTGGGGCTGCCACAGGCCGCTGAGCCTCCCTCTGCACCAGCACAGGCACTTGCGCTCACTCTTGCCCCTAGAAGCAGTTGTGTCTCCGGCTCCACGCGAGGCCCAGGCCATGGTCGGCGCTGGGACTGTATTCACTGAATTGCTTCACTTACCTGCTTCAGTTTTCTTCTGGTCCTTGCTCTGCATGGGGGGCAGTGAGGAGCCAGGGCTGGTGGCTCTGGACTTTGTCCTTGGTCCTGGGAGCCATGGTAAACCCAGGAATGGACAGGCTATGTTTGGGAGGACATCCCGGCCTGGGGATGTTGGGTTTGAGGCAAAGATGCATCTGATATGGGAGCCCATGTCCTGGGGGGAGTCACGCCCCCTCAGGGTTGCAGGGGATGCGGACAGCTGACACCTGTGTGGTGCTTTGCTCTGGCCTGGCCCGGGGAAGGCGGCCGTGTGGGCATCAGTGTGGACATGTGCTGCAGGCGTCATGCCATGGGGCGGGCCCTGCCGGGGGCCTCAGAGCAACTGGTCAGACCCACCTCAGCTCCAGGGGAAGCTGTAGATATCCCCCCCAGAGGCCCCAGGGGTGAGCGGGGAAGGGGCTTCTGGGAGGAGGGGGCGCTGGGCACCACGGGGGTGCAAGGCCTTGGCGCCAGGGTGGGAAGGAGGCACATCCTGGGGTCCGGAGCGCAGGAGGGACCAGGGCCCCCAAGACGCCCGTCCAGGCCCCTAGAGACCTCTGGTCTCTCTGGGGCAGCCCTGGGGAGCAGATGGGCGCCTCCTCGGGGGAAGCATGCAGGGCCAGTCCAGGGGCACCGAAGCTGTGGCCCGTCTGGGGTGAACGAATGAGCAAGCATCCTGCCTGCTGGAACCCAGCCCCGGGGTTGGGAGGCAGGTGGGGCACAGCCTTTGGGGAGACAGCTCGGCGGGACTGCCGCCCCAGGTCGGTGCTGTCACATCAGTCACATGCGTCTCCCCTCCAGGACCCGATGGACGCGGCCGGGTACTACCAGCTGGCGCTGGCGGCGGCTGTGGACCTGGGCAACAAGAAGGCGCAGATGAAGATCTATACGCGCCTCGCTGCTGTCTACCACAACTTCCTCCTGGATCGCGAGAAGTCCCTCTTCTTCTACCAGAAGGCGCGGACCTTCGCCACCGAGCTCAACATCCGCCGGGGCCACCTGGCCCCCGTGCGGTGCTGCGGGCGGGCACCCTGGCTGGTCCCCGACCCCCATTCCTGAGCCCCATCTTTGCAGACGTGGCCTCGGTCTGTCCCAGTGTCTCAGGTGGCTCATTCTGGGAAACAGAGGCACGATGCTCGGGGCCAAATAGAAATAAATGGATTTTCCAGAAATGTCCTGGAGTCTGCAGGGTCCCCTCCCTGGGCTGCCTCCTGGGGAGCATCTGGGGACCAGGCTCTAGCCCTGGGGTCCACCCTGCTGCTGCACCCCGACCTCAGCTATGTGCGGGCAGGTTCCCCAGCCGGCCACTCACCATGCAGCCTCGGGCACGTCCTTCCTTCAAACCCGTTTTCTTGCCTGTTAAAGCAGAGACAGTCGGCCGTGGGATTCGCTGGGCGCCCTCTCCCTTCCCTGGACTCACCGTGTCCAGCACTGCGCTCAGCCTTTAGTCCTCACTCTGCCCTGCGAGCTTGGGACTGTTACCTCCACTCACAGTTGAAGAAACGGAGGCACAGAGAGGTCAGGTGCTTGCCCACAGTCACACAGCAGGAGTCAGGGGCAGAGCTCCAGAGCCCAGCGCAGTGACCACCGCACCACCCCACCAGCCTGACCCAAGTGATGTGTTCTATTAGGACCCAAGGGCGGGTACACGGTTCCAGACCTCTCCACCTTTCGTCTGTGTCCTGAAAGGGATGGAAACAGGAGAAGGGGGCCCAAGTGCTCCCCTATCCCGGTGTCCTCCAGCCCAGTATGACCAGTGCCACTTCCAGCCCCTGGTCAGCCCTCAGGATGCAAGGTAGCAGAGCCTCCAGCCCTGCGTGGAGTCCCCAATCTGGGCCGCCTACCCTAGCCCTCCCTGCCCTCTCCCTTTCTTCCCAGCAACGAGCCAGGGGCCAGGAATCTAGGCAGGGCTGAAATTGCTCCCCAGTTTACAGACAGGGACCCGAGGCTCCGAGGCTGTGCGCATCCCGGTGGCTCGCACCCCAGGGCGCTACTCCAAGCTTCTCTTGTTAATGAGGTGAAACTCGCATAACATAAAATGAGCCCTTTAAAGCGAACGGTTTGGTGGCATTCAGCACGTTCACAGTGCTGAGCGGCCATCACTGTCCAGCTCCGAACATTCTCACGTCCCCAAAGAGACCCGTACTTCCCGTCTCCCGCCCCGAGACCCTCATTCAACCGGCGGGAAGTGGAGGCCTGGAGAGGGCTCCCGGTGGGGCCGAGCCCTGGTCTGCTTCTGTGCCGCGGGGAGGCGGAGAGGCGGAGAGGCGGCAGAGCCCGGAAGGCCCGGGTGGGGTCGGGGTGGCGGGCAGGGGAGCTCGTCATCCCCCCTCTAGTCCTGGAGTTGGGGAGGGCCCCCAACTCCCTCGCCCCTCCTGCAGGCCCCGCCCAGGCCTCCCCCACCAGGGGGCAGCAGAGAGCTTCCCAGAACTGGCGCCTCCCCAGCCTAGCAGAACTGCCAACAAACATCTAACCTTGACCCCAGGCTGCCTTCTTTGTGGGCTGGGTGGGTTTGGAAAGTGGGGAGGAGTCCGCACTGTAACTGAGAACATGGAGACATGACGAAGGCAAGCGCCATCACGATCGCCCTGAGGGCACGTCTCTGGGGACAGCGACCTGCTGGGCAGCGTCCCCGGGCTGGGC